GACAGTCCACGTTTTTGCTCCCTCCCAGCTCCCTGCCAGACAGTCCACGTTTTTGCTCCCTCCCAGCTCCCTGCCAGACAGTCCACGTTTTTGCTGCGAGGGAGCAAAATCATGGACTGTCTTGGGGTCCCCGAGGACCAGGTTCGGAAACACAGTGGGTTCGGAAACTGCTGGTTTGCCCACTATGTACTCTCTGCCCAATCCACCAACAGCTGCCAATCCATTAAGCTTGTCAGATTCGCTGTTTTTTTCTTAGCCGTAGCCAGGGCGATACCGAAGAGTAAATATAGGTTTCCTTTATCCACGAATGCTGTTTGATGTAGCTGTAATGAACTTGCATAATACAGCAAAGATAACGTGGAGACAAGCTTTTTAAAAGACCTATTGAATATTAATTCAAGTTTGGATTAAGGTGTTGATAATACCCAAGAATCCTGGAACAGTAAAGTCTGAATTGACCATTGTTAGGGCTTATCAGCCTAATTACATTTAACAGAGGGACAATTAGATAAAAGTGTCTTTGAACATCAGCAGCTCGGAGGTGTGTTGCCGTCAGTAGGTTTCCGGTGTTAGCGTGAGAAAAAACAGTCGTGCTGTACGGTCAATATTTCAGCTATCAAGGTTTCCTGCTCTCTTGGACTCAAGGAATAAACATTGGCTGAAGCTGAAGTCAGACATAACTGAGTATTTCAAACCACAGCCTCTACAGAACATGTTCAAAAAATAAACAAGCCATGGAGATGAGGAACTTATTATCCCCCCCTAATTGTTTATGAAGACTAGGGACTCGCGGTCTGTCCAACCCTCCTCATCACTGTTAGCGGTGTCCTGGAGAGAGTCGGTTGTCACCTGTGTCCACAGCACCAGCTGGGGCTGAAAATGCCCCCAGGACCCTGAGGACAAGATGGATTCAGTGGAGCGTAATGAGATTCTTCTCCTCAGTATTCATGAGTAAAGGCAAATTAAAGGGGATATGGGGAAAATGGCAAAGCATGCAAAAGCCATCATTGATTTCATTTCCTCTGGTGGTGGTAATGATTGTTATATAGCAGATTAGTAGATTTCCGAAACAATAATCGCAAGAATGCCACCTCCGTGAAGCCTTCATCTTCAGCCACTGAGCATACCGAGCATTGTGCCTTTTTAGCTTTCGAGCTGGAGCAGTCAATGTAAATAAGACCATTTATTTAACATGTTTAGAGATCTGTATTTACAGCATAGTCTCAGCTATTACTTTGGCTGACTTCGTATATGGGGAGCTGGTTACGGCTTGTAAACACACGATTCCCTCTCAGAACACCTAGTGTGTGGTCATTTTCGGCTGTTTAGACACAGAGTGATTCAAGGCTTCCATGTTGATGAGAGCTCACGGATGCTGCCCTCGTGTCGAGCGTGACAAATCGTGCTAATTTCTGTCACAAGGCCGCACATCTCGCAGTTTGCTTCAGACATTATCACAGTTTCCTTTCACTTACAAATATAAATGATTTAATTGTGAAATGTTGCCAGAAAGTGAACGTGTGATATTGATTGCCATTGTTCTACCTGCGTGAAAGAGGGCCGCACCAACACAGGACAATCATCTCTCCACTTAGCTGATCCATGAAGCTTATCTGCCAGTCCCAATCACAGTTCAGGGTTAAGGTAACATATCTGAAGATCCACAAGAGAATGATGAAGGCCTGCATGTTATCTCTTCTGAAATAACAGGTAATCAAAGAGACTTTTCTTATCATGCATGCTAAATGTGTGCTTAGTGCTCAGACCCTGAGTAATGACCATTGTTTAGCTGAGCACATTGTTTCCCAAGCAGAGACCTCTGTATACAATCTACAGCGCAGATCAGCTCATTAGCCAGCCATTATGTGACTCTTTAATGACCTTTCTGCTCCCAAACCCCTTGCCCTCTCATGTATCTATATCAGAGGTGGATAGTTCAATCACATAGTACTCAACTGGTTGGTTGTAACAAAATCTTGGTCTGGATTTTTGCGTTCTGGACCTGAACTATCCACCTCTGGTCTATATGCTGCAGGCCCAGCACAACACAGTCTTACCTTCTGCACCTGCTATGTCAACTGACCCTACTGGAGGACCTGCCAGTGACCCCCTCCCCCCTCTGTCCCCTGACCTCTGAACTCCAACACACGCCCCCCACTCCCCCAGAGCTCCCTCATCCAGCTGTGTTTGTTTCCGAAAGTCTTGCATCTCTGTGGGACACTGGACACGCTTCTCCTCACAGCGCTTTCTGCTTCTGAGGTTCTCAGCACCACCATCCCCAGTGAAAAAGCCCTGTTCAGGTGACAGAGGGCACATTGGGATGGGTCCAAGTAAACATGCAGTCCTGGGCCTCCGGAACATAAACACTGCCTCCCCGCCCACCCCCAACGGGGTCTGAGCAGTGGGGGCTTGTGGGGACGGATTGGTCTGAAAGGGAGTCTGACACCGAACCACAGGTGTGGAAACATCTCCCCTGGCTTTTTTCTGCTGTCTTCATTGCGGTTGTCATTGCTGAGAGCCCCTCACGGACTGCTGTGAGCATGAGGGCATTAGCATAGCATAGAGCCATCTCTCCTCATTACTGTTTAACGTGTGGGACCTATGAAAACTCCGTACGCACCCATGTGGATCGGGCGTGATTCCAGCTGAGGCAGATCCATTCCCATAGAAATTAAAATATTTAGTACAAAACTGGATTGCATGTCTTTTTTTTCCAGAGTGTAAATGAGTGCTGTGCTTGTAATATGTTTCGTTGTTTCTGTATGTATGATAATTGTGACAAAAAAAGCTCGTCTCTTCCAACCTTTCAGCAATTAAATTGCACAGTGTTCATTAGGTTGATTTAATGCAAAGACACACAGATCAAACATAACATTAGTAAAAGATCCTTTATTAAGAGCGCTGTGCAGGTTTTATTTTCAAGTAAATAAAACACCAGACATACTGAAGGAAATTATTCATAAAGTTGCTTTTATATAACTTAAATATTTTATCATAATTTATTGCTTACTTGTCTGAATTTATGTAATGTACAAATATTAATTGGTACAAATACAATCAATGCGCAATAATAGTATACCGCTATACTAGCCATAGACCCTAGACCGTATTTATCAAGGTGATTATTACGTTGCTTCGCGTGACATATAAACGTAGTAAGCCTTGTTTTAAGATACAAGTGAAAATATGTCCGTTGTCCATTCCACCACATGAAAACAGGGAAGTTATTGAGCAATATTTCCCCGATGTTTATTTTAGCATGGCGATTCTGTATATCCAGAACCATTTGCTGTTAGACCACCATCTGCGTGTGACTGTTTTTATCCCTGGGAATGACAGGAAAGCCGTTGTTTTCACGGGCAGTCTTTTGTCATTTTTGGAGATCACCGTCTTTGACTGTGGCCTGCTTTGTAGTCCTTATAATCCAAATTGTTTTTTTATTTATTCCGCCAGCCACGCTGACCAACAAAATGCCGGGTAAATAAGTTTCTTTCAGTCTGACAGCTTCCTCAGTGTTCAGTTTCGGGTCATGTGACGCGTTCTGTCATCAGAAATAAGCTTTTTTTTACCCTTTGCTTAAAGGCATAAACGTTTATTTCTAGTCAGGAATACTCTATGATTAGGTACGGGATATTGTTTGAATTGATCTGCAGTAGTTTATGAGTGTGAATCATTAGTCGGTCATTTTGTTTGACATTATCATAATGCATAATATGCGTGCGTAACTGACCGGGGTAAAGTTAGTTTGACATTTATAATACGAACCTATTGCGCGCTTCAGCTTGATATACATCGATATGTCATTTTTAATCCTAAAAAATTACCATTAGGAATGTTTCATGAAGCAAAGTAATCTCTATGTTGCACAGCAGGTTTGACATCATGAGGTCACATGGTTAGGGAGCATAATAGCTTTAGTATAGGTACAGTACGTGTCATTTTTAATTCTAAAAATATGTATAAGAGGAATATTTCAAAAATAAGCCTTGTGGTACATGAAGGACATTTGTATGCTGCACAGTTGGTCTGACATCATCCACTAAACTGGTTGAAGCACGTAATAGGTTTGTATTTTGAATGATAATGAATGTTGAATATTAAACTAACTTTACCCCGGTGCAAAACTGGAATAAAGTTATGTATATAATATTATTTTGGCTTAATATTATGACCCTATTATTACTGTTATTGTACATATTAGTAGTAATATAAGAACGGTGACAATTTTGTCTTTTGTTCTGTTGTTTTCAGTCAGATCTATAAACTCTCAGTGTCCTCTGCTGTCGCAGGACCAGATCCGCGATAGACTCCCGGTGACAACACGCCGTGTCTCACATTTCCTAACTAACCATTTGACAGCCCAGATGCGAGCAATCGGACAAGCAGTCCAGCAGGAGCCCGTCGCCATTCCCCGAGGGTCCCCCGTAAAAGCAGTGCACATTAACGGGATACACAAACGGCGACTGGAAAATCAACGCCGACGTGACCTAAAACTTTTTGTTCTCCGAAACGCGCGTCTTCATTTAAATGACCTCAGTTAATTGATATACAAGTCAGCGACGCGAACGAAACGACACAAGAGGAAACGGAATCGATTTATGAAATTACCGTCTACAATTCCTCTTCATTGCGACTGTCGACGTCAGGTCGTGTGAAAAAATCACTCTCATTTCACACCTTTTTATCTAGGATCCTTGGTGCCTGGCGGCGGTCACAATGCAAGATATACGGCACTACTTTCCACCTAGTTGAACAACAGAAAACGTTTATTATTATTATTATTATTATTATTATTATTATTATTATTATTATTATTATTATTATTGTGGATTACAACAAAACCCTGCATCGTTTTCGCTTTGCGCCTGATTTGGACTCCTTCCCCTTTCTCCGTGATCGTCCGCCCCGCTTCTTTGGCTGAGCTCCGTCCCAAACCGTGCTGGAAAACCTCATGCAGCCGCCAAGGTAAGCTGCACAGAAAGTGTCATGCACCTCGGTTTCTTGCATTATTTCACTCAAATAATTATAGATACATAAATATATAGTAAAAATCATTTGATGTCGATATGGCTCCGCTTACACGTCTAGCTCAATTCGTCTTCCATTTTAAGTTTTAAGTTTAATTTAGTTGCAATTTGAACGCACAGTCTGTCAGTGGTTACTGTCTGTTTCAGAATGCATTTTTTCCCTGTCGGCTTTTGCATTTGTTTTGGAAACCAGTACGAATAACTCTACTGGCTACATATTTACACGCATTGTGCCGTTTGCAGGACTGTAGAGCAGGATTGTGTGAGAGAATCAGACGTTAAACTAGTTCTATCACCTTGGCTTTTCCTAAATGAAAGGAATTCATTTACCTAGAGAACAAACACGACGTGTTAGGTTTTACATTAAGCGTTGAACTGAAAAAACAAAAACACAATCGCTTGTTTTATGAATATATGTTGCAGTACCTTTTTGTTCTGAGATTGAGTTTGCTAAATGTAGCCTATGTGGTTCCAAAATATTTAAAAATGAACTTTGTTGCACGAAATGTTAGTGATGATTTATGCATATATGTCATTCTGTTAGATATTGGGTAAAAAGTACAAATAAAATAATTTATTTCATTAAAATTCTGTGCAATTAAATGGTATTAAAGGAAAACACGAAATGTCGCTTGTTGATATATGAAAGTTACAAAGTGTTAGAAAGCGGCAGTGATCTCTGCCTGTTGGTGTAATTGGCTCAAAGTGCTCAGAGGGGGGATCAATATGACAAAATTGAGATTTTAATGGTCTGCCGGCTTGTTCTGACTTAACCCATGTGGATCGGGCGTGATACCGCGGCACCTAAACATCCATCCGTCAGACGCTCATGCTCTGGAGACAGATGTGGGGGCTGGAGCCCATCCTGTGAAGAATAGAACACAATGCAGGGGTACACCCTGGATGGGACAGCAGTCATCACGGGGCTGAGAGAGAGAGAGAGAGAGAGTGAGAGAGTTTCTAGGTATCTATAACATTATGGGGACTCCCCATTAATTTCTATGGGCATAACCATAAAGCCAAATATGACAACTTCAACCCCGACCCAGCCCTAACCTTAACCATAAGTAACCAAACAAAATACAAGACTTTTTGTATTTTTACTTTTTTGATTGTAGTCACAGATTTTTATAAAATTGAGTTTTTAATTGTGGGGACCTGAAAAATGTCTTCACAAGCTAAAAAAAAGTAACTGGTTGAACCACATTATGGGATGTACAAACCCACACACACTCGCGTACATCTGCGCGGCACCGGGAGAACATGGAAACGTCACAAACACGGCAGAGATGGGATTCAAACCCTCAGCCCTGGAGGCACCAGCCCTAGAAACTGAGGGCACCCCTCCACCTATTCTCTTACGTAGCAGATAGAGCAAGCGCCATCTATTGGGGAATTATTAAAATTCCATTGCACAGTCATGCAATTATATCCAACACATTGTCTGTATTATATGTTTGAACAACTATTTCCGTAAAAGTCAAGTTAAACTGAATTTTGTTTTATCGTCTTGAAACAGATGTATTGAAATTGCGTAGGATCGAGAACAATGTCTGAACTTTTTTTGATACATTCAGCTTGTCAAAGACCTTCAGGTACCGATGTTTAAAATATAAAAGAAATTAGAAGTTGTAGTGATCTGTGTTTGTGACCTTACTGTGTTCTAAGTCGTTTAAAATGCCTGCAACATCTATAAAATAGTAAAACCTGAAAGTATACAACAGCTGTTGGGTTTAAAATGAATGGTAATCGGTAAAAGATGTGTATCATAATGATGGATCACAGAGCAGACACTAAGCGTATGTTTGTTTTGGTCTAATTTTCGTTCACGCAAACATTAAAGAATCAATCTTCGCATCACACTTTGCGGAGGGAATGGGGGAAAAATCAATTGCATAGCGATCGCTGTCGGAGTGAGGAGGCACAGTGGTTTGGCGGTGAGTGTCCGCTCATCACGCCTTTACACCCACTACCGAAATGTCGGGCTCGTTTATGTTCCTTCAGCGAGGCAGAGACGTGCTGCTCAGGCACACGCCTGAGAAATGGTGCTCTTTGGTAAGGCTGAATGCAGCACGTTACTGGCCCTTATACAGTTTAGCTTGTGCCGTGCCTCATGCTTCCCGGGACAGTGTCCAGTTAACCTCAAACTTAATTGAATAAGTGGTTATATAGAGTGGATGAATGAATATTCTTATGCCTACACTGTAAAATAAAAGAACATTTAAACACCTAGTTTAAAACTGGTTGAAACCATTTGTATTGTAATAAAACATCAAACCAAAGCATTATTCTAATTGGTTAAAATGTAACTGTGTGCATAAAAATACCCATGTACTGGCAGTTTGAGGAAATCTGAATAATTGTGGTTTTACTCTCAGGCTTTCATTATGTCGCTTAGGCAATACTTTTACTCTAAGCAAACCATTTTTACCAGTTGCTCCAGCCGAGTACCAGTTCAGGACCAGTGCCCTACTCAAGAGTGTAGGATGCTGGTCTTGAGCATGTATTATACCAGATTAAAAGTCAACACTCTCACCGAGACCCTCCACATACGCTTCCTATGTGAATCATCGGTCACTGTTTTTTTGTTGTTAGCAACTTTTTTACTGGACACCTGTCAGTTCTTTCTGTGTTACATGTGGATCTTACAAATAACTGTGCCAGACTGATGGCTCAAAGGTAAGGGGGTGTGATACGGTCTCCCTGCCGGGCAGTCTTACCTCTTCGCTACACGTCGCATGATGCCGTTCTACTGGACTGGTTCTAATAGACTGGAGCACCTGTCACAGGCCTGCCTGTAGGTACTGGCGGTACCTATGAGCAAGATAGACCTTTTATTTTAATCGCCGTTACTGAGCTTTTGAGATATTTGATAGATTCATGATGTACTGCCATATCTGTTTTTATAATCAATCAATAATAAGGATTAGATTAATGAACGGGGAACTGTAGTCTGTCTATGAAAATCATCAATGAAAGCTGTTCTTTTTAAAATTTTTCTATTGCTGTCATAGAATTAAAGTGTAATAAACTGTAGCAAAGTTTAATAATAAACTTTTTAGATTCGATACTACCAGAGGTAAACAAAATGTTCGCTAGCTAACAGGACATAATTCAAACAACAAATGATGTTCTTTCTAGACTTTAAAGGGCGCGGTATCATTTCTGTGACTATCCTGTGAGTACAATAATACACATATGAGCACATATGATACCTTTTGGCACAAATGATGACAAATTCCGCAAGTAACAGCGCTTTAAGCCTTATAAAATATTGAAATGTTTTAAAACCAGTTTAATTCCCAGTCAAGCAACTAATACAGTTACTTTTTGTAGCCTATATCTAGGCATACTTGCTGAAAGTATAGATTAGATTTGTACCTATACATATTTTGTCGGAATTAACTGGCATTACGTTAGGATATGCCGCTGATTGTTTGAAATCCATTAAGTATCGTTTCGTGTTATAAATAGTTCATTAGTGGATGGCGTCGTTCTGCTTATTTGATTTATTTTAATAGCTTACACGACTCTTTAAGTGCTTAAAATGCTTTAGTCGGGCAAAAGCAAACACAAGTTCCACCTGTTGTGTCCGGAGAGCGGCTCTCTAGGCGGGTTACAGTGTGACACAGTGGATTCAGCGTGACTTGCAGTCCGGTGAGCCTCAGCATCCCTGCAAGGTCAGCCTGTAATCCGAAACTGAAAGGGGGTGAGGGCGGAAAGGCTCCGTATTGGCTTAGCCCAGATGTAGGCTGCACCTTTCCGCACTCCCCCCACCCCGAAACGGGAGATCGATTGCCAATCTTTTCTCCTTTTTTGTTTGAGGATTTCAACTCGGTGCCGAACATGCGAGGCAACCTTAGGCGTATATAGCGCCCAGCTAGTCCCTAAAGTACGCGCCATATGCTGTGAGTCGGTCCTTGCGGTGATAAACTTTATGCGTTTGCCCGTACGAAGGGATGTTTTCAGCCGCGGCACAGCGCGCTTTTACCCCCCTGCGCCCTTTTGCGTGGATTTACCGCCCCAAACAATGATACAATTCATCTGCTAATTCACTTTTTCCCGTCACCACTTCTGTTGGCTGTATCAGGGAGAGGAGAGAGGTGCGATCCTGTGCTGGATGGATGGTTATGGGGAAAGGAGCAGCAACTTCGGCGCTAGACGTCTGCAAGATCTTCGCCTTGTTTATCTACATGTTCCCTACAGGTAAGACGAAAAAAACCTTCAGATTCGACCACGTTTGGTTTGGGGTGTCGTATGTTGGGTCAAAGCTACAAAAACGTGACAAATTACTGGTTATACAGCTTTTGATCTTAAAATCGTCTTAATAACATGGCATACCTTACGCTTAAACTAAGAAAATGCTCACTACCCACCTTTATATACCTTAGGATATTACATTTTAAAAATTTCTGGCGTACTGTATTTGTTTATAGGTAGATATGTATCCATAAAGTTGTACTCTGTATGGGCATTTCACTTCACCATGCGTTTACATACTGCTGTAGGCTATATGTAGGTGCGAAACTGCGAAATCAAAGTAACAAAGGATTTCTTCGAAATTAGTTTTACCAAACAACTAAATCCTAACAGATTATTTTTCCCATATGGGGAAAATGTTTGAGTTGCAGGAAATATCCTGCGAACAAGTTGTGTGCAATACATCATGTCAAGTAAGTTTTTGGCAAAAAAAATAAACACGCAAGACTGATATATTTCATATTGGTGGAGACATGAGAAATGGTGTTTTGTTTAATTGAAAAATGTGCAGTTTTGTACTAATCTGAACTTATCTGAGAAAGCAGTCGGCACGTTTTTGCTGTGTAGGTAGCTGGCTTTTGGAGAAACTTTTCCACAATGGCTTTGGCGCAGTGGTGCCGGAGCATTCCTCCGGAGCCCCTCTTCGAGGTGGGGGGAGGGGAGCCAAGCGCCGCCAGGGCTCATTCTCAGCTCTGCATTTCCCCGTTTTAGTAAAACCTGCCGAGATCTGCCTCCGAATACGCAGATCGAAATATTTCGTTATTCTGAGATAGACGCAGAGATCTGTTTACGTGTTACACGTGTTTACAGGTTGTTTGGGTTTCCTAAAAAACAATCTGACTTCCACGCTTGAAGTTGTTTACATTTGAACATTGTAGGGTTTTTATTAATATGGGAATGTTTCCATGTAGATCTTTTTATTTACTACTAAGAACAGTAAAATAATAATAAAAAGTGTAGGCTATACACCCCCTTGAAATGTATCAACAATTTTCACACTCTCTCTTATCGCTTCTCTCATGGTACTTAACGTCAAACAAAGAAGAGATAAGTGTTTGTCGTTGACGTTTATTCAAGATTAGTTTATTGCGCTTTATCAGATGTGGGTGATAAATGCCTTTTGTTGCTGTCAGGCGTGGGAGTGAGTCTTTAACTATTTAAACTGTAAGTGTTAATTTTAGGGTTTAAATAATAGCGATAGCAGTCCAGGGACCATTTTGTTTGTTTGGTACAACTGAGATTTGCGTTAATTTGTCAGAAACTGCAACATACTAAGTGTTCCCTTTGCCCAAAGATGCATGGATAGCTGCAACAGCAGTGTGTATCAAAACAGTGCTCTTTCCCCCGTGTTTCTCGCTGCATTGTATAAAGTTATTTGTACTGTTTTCCCACCTCAGACTACAGGCTATCCTTATTCGCGTTTTTAATGTGACGGCTTACTTGGTCGGTACCCGCATTTAATTCCTCCCCATCACGAGCATAAACCTGTGTATTTGTTTATACCACGATTCATGTCAAACCTGTTTTATATGGAATGAGTTGTTTGCCTCACTCTGAGGCGATTTGGAATTTTCAGTATCTGTGTTTTTAATTTTTGGGAAGGATTTTTTTTCTGTTTGAGAATTTCTGACCATGAATTATTTTGCTTTCTGTCCTCTCTTTTCCACATTAACTGTAAAAATAGATACATAGGAGTTAATGTCCTTTCTGAACTACACTGTTGGCTGCAGATTCTCCGCCAAGTGCTTTGGGGTGTCTCTGCTGAGGCAGGCCTTTCTCGCAGTGACTGTCCGTGAAGCCTGTCCAGGTGCCCCAGCCAACTCCTGTTAAAGATTAGTGATGTGAAATGCAGTAACCCCCCCCCCCCCATCTCTTCGAGTTACGGGAACTATGGGCCCGATTAAATGAAGTCTTACACATTAATTAATGAATACCAGGTGATAATTAAGGGTATATTTAAATTTTTTTTTTTTTTAAGTTTTATTGTTTTAATTGGAAATGCCTTTGTTGTGAGATTTCTAAGCATTTTAATAATCCTCCTGAGAAATAATGAGGTTGATGCCATACAGCTCTATTAAAACATACAGGAGGCCAGGCTTGGCTGATGTGGAGAGTCAGCCGGGAATCGGCAGACTTGCATGTTCTTTTCAGTTGTTCGATTCCCCCTAAAATGACCCATTTTGGCAAAGCCGTTAAGTCAGTTAAAAGCAATGGTGCTTTTTAATTCCATCCGTTGTGGGGGTGCATGTTTCACATTTACGGCCCTGCCTGACCCATGGCTGGGGCGACCCCTCCTATCCACCTTCCCATGTGGAGGTTGGGCTTAAGATCCGGCAGCCGAGAAAAGGCGACCCTGTCTCTTTAAGAGGGACTTCAACAATCTGTAAGACCCAACCCCCCAGCCCCAAAGTGCGGCCTGTGAAACTCGACCTAATCCCTTTACACAGGGGTAATTTATTGCTCTGTTGGTCTCCTCTCAATGGCAAATTACATTGTCTTCATTCAGAGCCGAAA